AACTCCTTTGTCTGTCCAACTGTCTTTCTCTCTCTTTGGGCTCTATCCTATTGTTTACTCCCTTCCCCACCCACCTCCCTATTTTCTGCATATAAACTGACATTTTCCCAGCCACCACCCATTCTGAGGAAGGGTCACCGGACCCGAAACGTTAACTCTGTTTTCTCCTCCACAGATGCTGCCAGGCCTTTTAGTCAAGGGGTGCTTGGAACAAAAACAAAAAACAGGTCTGTTTTGGGTTGAAAAGGAGAGAGACTGAATGACAGAAGAGTTAGTCCTCTATAACTAAAGAGAAAGGAGATGATGGAAGAAAAGAAACAAAGAAAGAAAAGATGTACCCAGGTCAGGTTTGCTGCTAACAGATAGAAAAATATTGAAACACGTGATTAAAGAAAAGGAAACAAAATGTGGACAAATGTTTACCATCTGAAATTGTTGAACTTGATGTTGAATCCTGGGCTCTGTAACTGCGAGGCAGAAAGATGAGGTGCTGTTCTTGAGTTTCACTGAAACAGTGCAGGAGGCCAAGGACAGAAATGTCAGCCCAAGAACAAAGTGGAGAATTAAAGTAACATGCTTGCTGACTGAAAGCGGATATTCTCCAAAGTGGTCACCTAAACAATGTTTGGCCTCCTGCCTTCCACTCTATCACAGACCTTCCTTTTGTCCTTGTTCCACACCTTCTTACTCAAAACTTGTTACATCTTTAACTTTTTCCAGTACCGATGAAGGGTGACAGTTAAAACGTTAGCTGATTCACTCTGAACGTGCTGCCTAATCTGCTGAATTTTTTCCAGCATTCGCTATTTTCATCTCAGATTTCCAGCATCTGCAGCTGTCAGATTTTCTTTTCTTTTACTATAGCCATTGTGTCCCTATTTAATGCCAAATTGACACTTGTACAGGTTTGCCCAATATTTACCTGATGCATTTACAGATATTCATAACTTGTATTTTCGTAAATCATTTTCAATATAGCCACACAATAGAAGTGATAGAAGAAGCAAAGAACCAGAGGACAGAATAGCAGGGCTCAAGAATTAATAATCAAGAATTTATTAACAATGGGCTGTTATCCATTTCTGAAAAATGTTTAAGTCAGTGCAGATTTCACTCTCAAGACCTGAACAGCCAATTGCAACAAGTAAAGGGTCCATGATTAATCATTTGTCAGGAGAATATGATAGAAAATAGAAATGTAATACCGATGTATTAATGGCAGATTTTATAAAAGTCTCAGTCAGCTGTATTATTTAATCTAGAGAAAAACTCATGATGCAAATTAAAAAATTTTGAAGTTGACATTAGATACGATTGTATAGGTCTTGCTATTAGGGCATTAAACTGCACCCACTACAAAATTGGTTTTCTGTGAGACATGTATAATTTGGCTTTGCCAATGAGTTTCTTGCTATTTTATCACTGATCCCAAGAATGTTTGGAAGAGGTTTACAATTACAAACATTCTGCCTACCCATTTGAATATTGGACATTACGTGGACTAAGCTGGCATATAGGCCCCCATTTTCCAATAGCCAGACAGTCATCTTTGCAGCCCTGATCGGAATCTTTTCTGAGAAATGCAGAGCTCTCTCCTTTTGATTTGGAAAAAAAGGGGCAGAGTGGAAAGCATACATGAGATTACCACTCAGAAAATCCTGCCCACTAATGTTTATGGAAATATTTTTAACACATATCTGAATATATACCAGCCAATTTCCTTATACATCCATTCTCTTCACTTCTGATGGCTTCCAGTAGGCATTTCTTACACAGTTTGGAGAACCACATTATTTTTCCAAGAAGACCTGATGCAATTTCAGTGCAAACAGGCAATTACCTGAACAGCATAAACACTTAATTTCTCTCATACTTAATCAGGACCCTAGTAGGGCATATGTCCTAATCCCGAGAGGTGCCAACCAATCAGAAGCCAGCAGGTCTCCAAGACCTACAGTCCTTCTTTGAGGAGTGGTCACTGTTATTAGTACAGGGAAACTTTCACCAGGTAGTACTACTGGATCCCTGGGTAGGATAGGGTGTCAGAGGGTAGGAGGTGGTCATGGTTGGAGGGCCAGCGAGTGGTAGAGGGGTTTGGATGGAAGGGCAGCAGCCCCTCTACTTCCCAATATTTGCTCAATCAGAACCAAATTCATGTCAACAAGGGACCTTCCCGATTAGGGGCACTGGCAAACCAAAAGCTGGCTGGGTGGGTTTTTGTGGACATGGGAGATTTATGTGAATCCTGAGCCACCATTCAATCCTGGTGGGCTCAAGGATAACCCCCGGACCCCACACCCCCCAAAGCTGGAATTGAACCCAGGTTCCTGGCTGCAATGTGTGAGACAGCAATGCTGACCACTGAGCCACCATGCCCCCATGCCAACTTGGGCCATGACCTCTTTCTGTTCGGCTTCTGTTCAGATTACCCCACAGCTATTCTGTGACATCTTTGACCCTGGCACTCAGCAGGCAAATACCATCCTGAAGCCACATCTATGACCCCAAACACCGCACCCTCCCTCCTCCACCAATGCCCCTGAGCAGCTGGTCTACCCTTGGCTCCGGCTGCTTTCCACAGAGGAGCCATCACTCTCACCACTTTCTAAGGCCAGTAGAACTCAAAAAGAATGTAGGAAGCAGGTAAAGTTTAAAAAGAATTTGAACAAAACAATTGATTGTTCTATTTACATTTTGTTTAGAATTTGAAAGCACAATAATTTCAACAGATGGAATAAGATTGGAAGGAAATATCACCAGTCCATATTATCCCAGCTATTATCCTCTAAAATGTAGTTGTACCTGGACATTTAAGGTAATGCCTAGTTGATTCTGTCTTTAGACAATTTGCAGTGTTTGACTTGTTGGAATGTCAATTTATGGAAACATTCTGCTTAATTTCCTTCAAAGTGCCATTATTGGTAACATAATTGATGAACACTCTCCTCAAACTTTGCTTAAAGTAGGTAGTCAACCTGTAGAAGTGCAGTACTATGTCAAAATAATTGCATTTTACATTGTTGTTCATCCTTTTACTGTAACAACAATTTTAAACTTGTCAAGCCAAGTATGGCATTTCAGTTTAGAACTCATATAAATAGAAATCATATCAGACTATTAATGGTGGTCATGGAGAAAGCCATAATTTGCCGTAATGTACCATAAGGAGAAGGTTATATATGTGCAAAATGTTTTCTAAAATGGCTTCCTGCGTTACTGTGGGATTTAAATGGGCCCTAACCTAAGAATGATGAAGTTACATAGGCATTAGGAGTTATTGTACACAACTGAATAGTTAACAAAATAACTGTTTTAGATATTCAGTTTGTATTTTAACCAAGCTACTCATTCTTTCAATTTCTCATTCAACATCCTCATTTTTGTAAGTTTAAGGTGATTTTTGAATATTGTTAATGCAAGGTTAGAAACAAGATCAGGGAATGGGGAGGCAGATTTCAGTAATCACCCCCTGACCACACACATGCTCCCAACTATACTCAGATGGGGGCAGATCAAGACCCCTCACTCATCCCAACAGGCATGCCCTTCCTTTTTACCCTCAGGAGGGCTGCCAATGTTCTTGTCTATTGGGGACAGAGTTAACTGTGGCAGGGATGTAAAGAGGGCCTTCAGCAATCACTACGTGACTGGGAAAGTAACAGGAATCTCCCCATTATATTTTGGCCCTACCATTAAGTCCATTGCCTCTGGGATAGGAAGGTTCCCTTCCAGATCTCAGCACATCCCAAAGGGTTTGTCTGCCAGTGAACTGTGGTTGCTTTTAAAGTTAAATATTGAAAAGTCATTTCCATGGTCATTCAGTTGGCAATTAGACGACATAAAGTTAAGATGGACGTCAAAAGGATAACAGGAGATATTAGAAGATTATTTTTACCCACAATGTTCTTAAGACATGTGTAGGTCAATGGCTGTAGAGTGAAATACAGTCCATACTTAGCTGCAATTCTGATTGTGATGACTGGAAAATTGTTAGTACTCAGCACCATTCCAGGCACATGGACCGCTAAATGTGGAAATCTGGCTGTTTCTAACGAAATATTAATCCACATTTAATGCAGAACAACTCCTTTGGCTCTAAATTGAAAAGTTTATGAATGCAGCATGCCTCTCCCTTAGAATCAAATCTAAAAGTCCATGATTTTTTTGAAATAAAGCTATTTTTAATTTAATTTTTCAACATTCGTTTATGATAGTTGGGATTTCATCTTAATCCCATTTAGCTCTTTCAGACAACTGACACTGGCATGAATAGGCAAATGTCCTCCTTCTCTGCTGAGGAAGCCTATGATTCTACTTGACACTGAAATCTAGATGATAAGACTGGACGCTGATTAACTAGAACCCAACTCCATAGAAAATACTGTGTGGAAGTCTGAAAATTGTCCATGTTGTTTATTAATGTTACCATGCTGCAATTCACTTGATGAACAAGGCTATTGGAAAGGTGAAGGAAAGTTCCTCCACTGTTTGAAATTATGTATTTTTTTCACAGATTTTTTTTGTGATTCATGCTTTTGTTTACCTGATGGTTGACATGAAGAGTAAACAGGAAATCAAAATTTCTGTGAGTGCATGTGGAGGCAACAAACACAGTAAAAGTGAATTTCCTCACCACCCTTAAGAAATAAAAGGGAATTTTTTTCAGTGACGAACCTTATGAAATTTTTTTCTGCTTCATTTTTGTTTTCAAGCCAGTTTGTGCCATTTCTTTGGGTTTCTGGAGTTCTCTCATGTTGTGCCATTGGTTTAATTTGTATGTATCAATGTGAGACTGGAGTGAAGATGCAGGTCCAGTTTGCCTTGGTTTGGAATGCTGCTGCACTAAGGGCAGGTTACATTTGAGTTCTGTGAGTGCAATGGGGTATCTGGACAGATCTGCTTACCACTGCAGCTGGAAAAATAACTTTAGATGGATATTCACTGCATTGAGATAGGATTCTTCACAGGTGGGAGTGTTGGGATTGGCAGCAAAGGGTTGGTGGAGGGGAAATACTCCGGAATAAGCTAGATAACACACAATGATTATATATTTGAGTAATCTGTGACCCTTCATGGGCTTCGCTTTAGGTTAGAGGTTGAAAATGAATAGAAAGGATAAGGCAAATCTAAATCACAAACGTTACTTTGATAAATGTTGTGTGGTGTTGTGTGTTTATTAGATATCTACACCTTCTCTTGGACTAGCACTGAAATTTCACAACTACACCGTGAAGGAAAAGGGGCTTGAAAGATGTGATCATGGCTGGTGGAAAATAAATGAAAAAATGTAAGGGTTGGATTTTGTTTTATTATTACCTGTGTTGCATCTATATGAAAGATATCACTTAATATGGCATTTTCATTGCCATTTATCTAGTGAAAACTCATTTGCATCAAGCATAAGCTGTTGTGAGAAATACCTTATTAAGCCCCTTGAAGGAAGGATAATTGTAGACCTGTTGATGGTGATATCAATGTCCTGAATTTGGGCAAAGAGATTGGAGTGGAGTTGCAATCATTGGTGACTGGAGAATTTAATATAATTAGAATCACAATGCAACAAAATTGGGGCTCTTGTGATACAGTGGTAGTGTCCCCACCTCCGAGCCAGGAAGCCTAGATTTAAGTCCCACCTGCTCTAGAGGTGTGTAATACCATCTCTGAACAAATTGGTTAGAAAATACCAATGAGACAAAATTATCTCAGATGCATTCACACAATGAAGGTAGAAGGAATGAGAGTATAAACAGGGCATATGTTTGTGGATCTGTTGAATATTTATTTTTTTTCCTCTGTTTCACAGTGAAAATGCAATATAGCTGAAACCAATTCCCTCAGGTTGTCTAAATTAGCTCCAATTATTTAGGCTCCCTCCATTAAAGTCACCATACCCTGAGGGGTTGCTCTCTCGCATATGTGAGAGAGAGAGGGAACTAATGGTGAGTTTAACCTGAGGGTCACCATGTCTCTGGGCAAGGGGTGATGTTGAGAAGGCAAACATTCATGTTGACCTCACCCGATCCAGGAATTAAAGCCACGTGTTGGGGTCACTCTGTATCATAAGTCAACTGAGCTAACCGATCCCCAGAGCTGCTAAACAAAGTGCTGAATGAAATATTTACTAATTTGGAGAAAAGATTAACACTCTACTGATCAAAATACCTTTATTCTCAGTCTGAAATAGAGCTCCAAATAACCAGAACATTGAAAAATATTGGTCTATTCACCATTGTAATTGTAGAATATTCTTTTCATTCAGGTACTGCGGTTATCAAATAGATCACCAGACAGTGTTCCACATAGCAAATTTCCTGGTTAATATCATGTTCCAGTGCAGTGGAAAACAATCAGACAAGGCATTTCTAGCAGAGTACAACAGTTATAACATCAGCCAGCGTAAGGATCTTTTTATTCATGAACTCTTAAATAAATTTTATGCACAACTTGCAATTGTAGAATAATTAAATGGTTACTTACTGTATCCAGCTAAGCAAAGCTAAGTACGTCATGAACTGCAAACATGGTAGCAGGCTGTTACAAAAAATTAGACACCTGCTTTAACCTGATGGGCACGTGTTTAATTGAGAATGGGTTTGTCATCAGTTTGCAGTGTGATCTGATAATATTTTGCAACTATTTAAATTTATCAGACAAAAGTGACTCCTGTTCCTGTGTCTAATTCTACTTCAGTACGATACCCCAGACTTCTATATTAGCACTGCAATCTGGATTTTCATTCTCTGTGACTTTCCAAAGAAATGTGAATTCTTGCATAGGACTTTCTTTAAAAGCACAATTGTTTTGTCCTTTATAAATGCAGGTTTTATTTAAAGCAATCTGCTGTTTTTAAAACAACTATTGTGATTACAGCCAATGCTTACCATTAGATATAGGAGCAGAATTAGGCCATTCAGCCTACTCCATTATTCGATCATGGCTGATATGTTTCTCAACCCCATTCTCCTGTCTTCTCCCCGTAACCCTTGATCCCCTTGCTAATCAAGAACCTATCTATCTCTGTGTTAAATACACTCAATGACTTGGCCTCCACAGGCCTCTGTGGCAATGATTTCCACACTCTCTGGCTGCAGAAATTCCTCCTCATCTCAGTTCTGAAAGTTGTCCCTTCAATCTGAGCCTGTTCCTTTGGATCCTAGGCTCTCCTACTAGTGGAAACATCTTCTCCACATCCACTCTATCACGGCCTCTCGGTTCTCTGTAAGTTTAAATGAGATCCCTCCCTCATCCATCTAAACTCCATTGAGTAAGATCCAGAATCCTCAACCACTCCTCATATGACAAGCCCTTCATCCTCAGGATCATTCTTGTAAACGGCCTCTGGACCCTTCCAAGGCCAACACATTCTTCCTTAGATATGGGATCCAAAATTTTCCACGATATTTCAAATGCAGTCTACCCAGAGTCAATACAGTTCAGCAGTGCATCTTTGCTCTTTTATTCTAGTCCTCTTGAAATGAATGCTAGCATTGCATTTGCCTTTCTAACTGCCAAATGAATTATCATGTTAACCTTCAGAGAATCCTGAAATAGGACCTCAAAGTCCCTTTGTGCTTTAGATTTCCGAAGCCTTTCCCTGTTTCAAAAATCACCTATGCTTCTATTCTTCTTACCAAAGTGCATCACCTCACACTTTCCCACCTGACGCTTTTCCTGGCCTGTCCTGGTCCTTCCACAACCTCCCTGCCTCCTCAACACTACCTGTCCCTCCACCTACTTTTGTGTCATCTGCAAACATACCAACAATGTCTTCAGTTCCTTTGTCCATATTGTTAATGTACAATATGATAGTTGTGGTCCCAACACTGACCCCTGCGGACCTCCTCTAGCCATCGGCTGCCATCCTGAAAAAGACCCCTTTATCCTCACCCTCTGGTTTCTGCCAGTGAGCCAATTCTCTATCCATGCCAGCACCTTGTCCCTAACACCATGGGCCCTTATTTTGCTTTTGCCAGTGTGGGTGGGGCCTTCTTTCCACCCATGGACCTTCTTTGTGGCATCATAGGGATCTTGCAAAATGGTGGTTATTGCCTTTTCCGGACACATCCCGCCCCCACATCCCCCACTCCCCCACCCCCGTTGCTGCCATGGCACATTTTTAGTTCTACCCCTTCTGAGGTGAATGACTTAATCCAAGCAGTCCATTGCCCTGTCGGTTCTGGATTTTATTTTGGGATGGATAGGGCAGAATTCATTGCTCACCTCAGTTGAAGTCAGTGCCTGCCATTGTTCTATCTGTGCTGTTACTGCACTGTCCTAGCATTTTTCCTCCTTGCGCTTTGTTTTCTGGTTTTGTCTTCACCCACTGCTTTCTGGTGCCATGACATGTCTTGGCAGGCTTTTTCTGCTGCCTACTGCTGTTTTTCTGGGTATGGTCACCACTTGCCACCATGCAGGAATGTCATTAGGAGCTTGAGACATATGGGGCTAAACTCAAGGCTCCTGCAAATAGCAAACAATTAAATGGAGTAGCAAGCAGTTAAGAAGCAAGTGGTATATTGGCTTTCATTGCAAGGGGATCTGAGTTCAGAAGAAGGGATTTCTTACTGCAGTTATACAGGGTCTTGGCAAAACCACACCCAGAGTATTTGTGTGCAATTTTGGTCTCCCTACCTAGGAAAGGATATACTTTCCATAGAGGGAGTGCAGCAGAGGTTCACTAGGCTGATACTGGGGATAGCGTGACTGGCCTGATGGCCTGTAGTCTCCCCCGTTTAGAAGGATTAGAGGGGGTGTGGTTGATATGTATGAAATTCTAACAGGGCTGACCAGATTATACGTAGGGAGATGTTGCCCCTGGTTGGACAGTCTAGAGCAAGGGGAGACAGTCTCAGGATATCGGGTAGGCCATTTAGGATTGAGATAAGGAAAGATTTCTTCACTCAAAAGTTAATGAACATATGGAATTCTCTGCGACAGAGGCTGTGTAAGCCAACTTACTGAATGTATTCAAGAAAGAGACAGATAAATCTTTAGACTTAAAGGCATCAAGGGGTATAGGGAGGAAAAGCAAGAATATAGAATTGAGACAGAGGAGCAGCCATGATCATATTGAGTGGCAGAGCAGGCTCGAAGGTTCTCTGTCTGCTCCTAGTTTCTATGTTTCTATATTAACATTTACTGCTTATAAACTATATGCTGAAGGATGGTAGAGCAAAGCTTTGCTGGTGCATTCTTCCATTAGGTCTCAGTCATTTGTGATGTAACGTCATCATCACATTATTATTAGCTATTGTTAGAATACTAGTACAATTAACACTTTACTCCACATCTTTTAATCCCTTTGCTGACGAGCTTGTTAAGTGACATATTATTAAATACTTTTTGGAAATTCATGGATGCAAATCCTCATCATCCTGATTCTTGCCTTATCAAAAATAGAATCAAGTTAGTTAATTATGTTCTGAAGAAGTGTCCCTGAACCTGAAATGATGACTCTGTTTTTTCTCCACAGATGCTACCAGACCTGCAGTGTTTCTCCAGCTATTTCTGTTTTGGTTTTAGTTAATTATGAGCTGCCTTTAACAAATCCTCCTGTCTTTCATGAATTAATCCACATTTATCCAAGTGCCTGCTAAATTTAAAACATTCTGACAATAGTACTGAAGGCTTGTGCCGTAGAACCTGCCGTAGCCCTAGCCAAGCTCTTCAAGATCTGCTACAACACTGGCATCTACCTGACCATGTATAAAACAGCCCAGGTTTGGCCTGTGCATAAAAAGCATGACAAACCCAATTTGGCTAATTATTGCCCCATAAACTACTCTCGATCATCAGTAATACATTTGATAGTGTCATCTACAGTACTATCAAGCAGCACTTGCTCAGCAATAACCTGCTCATAGATGCGGAGATAGGGTTCCGCTAGGGCTACTTAGCTCACGAATTCTTTATAGCCTCAGTTCAAACATGGACAAAAAAGTTGAATTTCAAAGGGTGGTGAGAGTGACAGCCCTTGACATCAAGACAACATTTGACCAAGTGTTGCATCAAGGAGCACGAGCAAAACTGTTGACAGTACGAATCAGGAGGATCTCTCTGCTGGTTGGAGTCATAGCTGACACATAGGAAGATGGTCATAGTTGTTGGAGGTCAGTCATCTCAGCTTCAGGACATCTCTACAGGAGTTCCCCAGAGTAGTATCTGAGGTCCAACCATCTTCAGCTGCTTCATCAATGACCTTCCCTCCGTCATAAGGTTACAAGTGGGGATGTTCGCTGATGATTTATAATGTTCAGCATAATTCTCGACTCCTCAATGCTGAAGCAGTCCATGTTCAAATGCAGCAAGACCTAGACAATATGCAGGCTTGGGCTCAAAAGAAGCAAGTAATATTCATACCAAACAAATACCAGGCTATGGCCATTTCCAATAACTGACAATCTAATCACCACCGCTTGATATTTGATGGTGTTACCATCACTGAATTCCCTACTATCAACATCCTGGGGGTTACCATTGACCAAAAACTGGACTGGACTCACCACATAAACACAGTGGCTCCAAGAGCTGGCCAGAGGCTAGGAATCCTGCAATGAGTAGCTCGTCTCCTGATCCCCAAAGCTTGTCCATCATCTCCAAGACACAAGTCAGGATTGTGATAGAATACTCCCTACCTGCCTTGATGGATGCAATTCCAATAACACTCAACAAGCTTGACACCATCAGAACAAAGCAGCCTTACTTGATTGGCACGGCATTCACTCCCTCCAACAACAATACTCAGTAGCAACAATGTGAACTATCTACAAGATTCGCCACAGAAAGTCATGAAGGCTTTTTAGAGAGCTCATTCCAAACCATGAACACTACCATCAAGAAGGATAAGGGAAGCAGATACATGGGAATACAACCCCTTGCAAGTTCCCCTTCAAGCCATGCAAGTCAAAAGATGTATGGAAGCATCACCACACACAAGTTCTCTTCCAAATGACTCATCATCCTTACTCGGAGCTGTATTGTTGTTCCTTCAATGCAGCAGGATCAAAAACTCCCTTCCAGCAGCATCATAGTGTACCTGCACCACTTGAACATCAATGATTCGAAAAGGCATCTCATCACCACCTTCTTGGGGGCAGTTAGGGACGTCCAGGTTTTGCATCACTCCCATAGTACACTTACCTCTTGTTTACTGTCCTCACACTAACTACCATCATGGTCCTGTTCTTTCATGGCAGCAATTTCAGAATCTGGAACTGAACTTGTGACAGCTTCATCATGTTGCCCCTTCCTATCTGTTGAATACCTCCCAATCCTCTTTATCTTTATTTATACTTTTCTCTTTCCCAGCATACTCGCTACAGATGCTCTGTACAGATGCATATTTTCCCATTCAATATCTAATCACATTTACCCTCCATTTGAAAGAGAAAACAGCA